GTCGTGGTCAGGAAAATAGATTATATTAATGGTCGTTCAGTTATTTTGGTTGGTCTAATCGATCTGTTTGTCCAATCAACCAATCTGAATGGCTGTAGCTAGTGCTGTCGGCGGGAGTTCATCAGCTGCTGCCCCTCTATCTGGTGGGGTTAGAAAGTCGGCAAAATCGAAGAAAACACAGTCAATTCATCCTCCATATGGAGATATGATAAAGAAAGCCTTGAAAGAGCTTAAGGAACGCGGTGGTTCAAGCCGCCAAGCCATTGCTAAATATATAAAGGCCAATTACAAAGTTGATGATCGTGCTGAAAGTCATCTACGTCGTGCATTAGTTACTGGTGTTAAGTCGGGCAAGCTTGTTCACACTAAAGGAATTGGTGCTTCCGGTTCATTCAAACTTGCGGATAAAGCTGTCACGCCGAAGAAATCCTCACGTCCTAAAACTTCGAAGCCGAAATCCACTCCAAAGAAAAAAACCAGCGAGAAGCCAAAAGTTGTCAAACGAAAATCAACTGGCAATCCATCTAGTAAACCAGTAGCATCAAAGCCTAAAACAGTCAAACGAAAATCAGCTGCTAAACCAAAGAAGGCGAAATCACCTCGTAAACCAAAAGTAAGTAGGATGAATTGAACCGTTTACTACATAGTTTTCGACTGCCTCAGATGAACATTATTTCATGAATACGTGTTTTGATTTTTGTCATTTTTTAGACAGTGAAGCCTAAGAAGCCAGTGGCCAAGAAGACTCCGAAGAAAGTTGCCAAGAAGTGAATGTGGTTTTCTCTATATGTTTGTAGTTAATTTTTCTTTATTGCTATATTACTCACTTGTATATATTTGTCCATACTTGTCCTGTGTACATAGACTTTCTTTACTACGACTACTACTATTACTACTGTCGTGTGCTGCTTGTGATTGTTCAGATTGTATTTTATTTATTACTCACATATTGATCATGAATAAAGGTGTACTGCCATCAGTTCATTGCAAGGTTTCTCTTTACTTTGGCTCTTTGGTTAGGGTCAGATTATCTTGCTACTCGCTTCCGCAGTGGTTTGTTGCAAATGCGTGTCCCTGCAGTCAGTGTCTTCTGTCGGTTCTGTACGTATCATAGCTCACATGCGCAGTATAGTGTGGTCCCATTAAGTCGGCTGGTGTGTGGAGTTGAGATGACGTCATTCGCACAAGCCGCTGACTGCTTACAACGTATCATGTTGGTCAGGCTGTTACGAGTTGGGAATGCCGGTCTCAAAATAGGGGGCATGCTGTTTAGGCTACTCCTAGCAGACGAAGCTATTCAGGAAAGCCGGAGGTATGTTTTTCGAGTGCTTTGCTAAAATATCACGTCTTCTACTTAGTTCACTCAGAAAATGCTTTCTGATCGTCTGGTTGATGGGTGCTGGTAGGTTGTGTTCGGTGTGTTTGTAAGTTGCTGGCAGTCTTAGGTTCTTTGTGGTGTCGCGGCTCAAAGAGTAGACAAGGTATCTGTCTGCTACAACTATGCCTAGGGAGCCTCTTACTCCTGGCAAATACCAACTTTAGGCGTAAAGAGAGACGTCTTTTGACATGGCGAATCTTATGATCAACTCAACGCTGAGATACTTAACGTCGGCAATACTTTGTCGCTTAGCTAAAGCTCATGAAGAGCAAACTCGGAAAAATCAGGGTGGTTTCAAACCTGGACGCGAATGTCTGAACCAGATATCCACACTTCGTCAGGTCCTAAAACATAGATACATCCAGACGTCCGACAATAGTTGCGTTCTTCGACTTTAAGGAAGCGTTTGGCTCTGTGGATCATGAGGTTCTGTGGCAGTGTCTGTCATTGAAAGGTGTGTGAGAGAAGTATATTAACCTTATACAAACTCTACTGTAACACCAGTCGTCGAGTTAGGGCTTATGGCGAACTGTTTCAGTATCCTTTACTTCAAGTGGTGCTTGTCAGGGCTGTCCACCTTCTCCATCCCTGTTTAATTTTGTCATTGACATGCTCTTAGAGACGATGCTTTCATCGTCTGATTTTCCAGGGGTTATCCTTCTTCTAGGAGACTCGCTTATTGACCTAGAATATGCTGATGACTAATTCTATTTGGTGAAGACGCTGACAAAATGCAGTCTTCTGACTACCCTAAGCAACAATGTAAGTGTGCTCGGGATGCGATTTTCCCCCTGGAAATTCAAACTGTAGCTTTCTGATTGACTTTCCGACCGTGGCTGGTGTCATATAAGGTGATTATTCATCTATTAGAGGAACATGATGTGCATATAACGGATTTTTAATGAAGTCAAAAAAATTACGAGGAATTCAGAAGTTTATAATTTGAGGGAATGCAAAAATAGTTGCACCTACGTCACAGAGAGATTTTGGGCTGTCATGGAAAGTCTGTAACCACTTGTCGCAACTATCATGCGAACCCCGCTCAGTTGGTTTGAACCTTTTAATATGGTACAATCCAATTGTCGTTGACTTCATGGACTGGTGCGATGTTCCGGTTTGGCCGCCCCTATCTTTTTTCAGCTTACTCCTACACCAGACAACATGTCTCATGCAAGTAGTTGTTGGCTGGACGTACGTAACACATTTCCCGATCACATCATTTGAAGAAGATTAATAATCGCGACCGTAGCTGCTACCTTGACGTGGTCGTCGTGCTTGTCTATTGGCTGGAACATATGTTCCTGTAGGTTCTACCATGTGAGACAGGTAGATTGGAGAACAGTTAGACTAAGAGCAACCACTCGAGGTCTGAGGGCGAATTCGTACTGCTGACTGTAGAGGGGTGTGTCAGCAGTAAGGTGTTTCACTCTGACAACCAGCATGTGCAGCGGTGATGCCTTCTCACAAGGAAGGAAGTGTTAGAAAAGGTCGACCGTAGAAATGACACCACCTTACCTCTCGGATTTCCGTCTCCGGCGGTAACACCTTTCAAACAAGAACGGAGCTAAGACTTTAAAAACCTCATAAAAATACCTTGCATGACCGGCCTGAAGCGGTTGTCCCTTGGGCTCTGCGGTCACGTTCCCAGGTATCTAAGACCAACGCTAGTCTGACTTCATTTTCAGGTTCCCCAAGAAGCACCCTTCCACAGTGTGGCCAGCGAGGAAGTCACAACCGCCCTTGTACCCGAAACAGCACATGAAACCAAACTGGTCACAATCAAACCCTTCCTACATCCCCCTAACATCTCTCTTATCTCCTCGACTCACCCTTCTCACATTCCTTTAACAGCCTGCTTCGCTAATCCAAACGATGTGAGTTCACGAAACGTTATTCCTGATCTCCTGAAACCCCGTTTTAAATTACATGTTGGAGAATTTAATGTCCGGACATGGTGTCTAAAAGGGCAACAGGCTTCCTTAGCTAGGACTTCAGAATCTCGCACCGTCGATGTATGATGCGTCCCCGGAAGGCGTATACAGGATTCAAGTAGCGTCATTCATTTGACCTCACCATGTCAAAATAAAGAAGGAGCTCGATTTACCCTTCGTGTATGTTGAAGCTCTGCTGCTGCTTCGCGGGGCCTCGCTGATGTAGATACAGTATTAAGTCCTAGGGCAGAATTAGCTCTCTTAGATTGGATCCCAGTCGATAGTCGCTTCAGCGCTGTCCAACTGAACGGTTCAGTAAGGATTCGAAAACATAGGCACACCCGTCGTTGCCTCTTCGTCGTATCTGCCTATGCCTCCACTGACTGCAGTTCAAAGGAGGTTAAAGATGAGTTTTACAGAAAGCTTTTAGACCTCCTCAAAAAAGTTGGGCACTCAGGTATAGCAATAGTGGCTGGTGAATTTAATGCTCACGTAGGTAAACTAAGTGAAAATGAGAGACACCTGGGTGGATGTTATGGTGTCGCGGCTCACAGAAGCGACAATGGCGACCGTCTCTTGCAATTATGCTCAGATAACCGCCTATTCCTAGCAAACACTAAATTTGTGCATAAGGGAAAGTATCTCTTGACCTGTCGACCCCCGATATCGTCTGAACGTTGGACCCTACTAGATCACATCGCCATCAGCCACAGATGGACGGGTTCGATAGAGGACTTTCACTCGTTCTGGGCACATGTTTAGATTCAGATCATGCCCTAGTGCGAGCTCATATTTGTTTGAGGCTTACTGCTCGTAGGAAAGACACCGTAAGAAAGCCTCTTAGAGTTTTACTTAGTGATAATAAGGCGAAGAATATATTTCAGGAACAACTGGACAGTTAGGAGACCATCCGGAGGCAGGTTGGAATGATATCAAAAAGGCTGTGGGAACAGCAGTGATATATGCTAGTAAGGTTGACCATAAGGCTAGAGCGAAGCCGTGGATCTCTGTAGCATCCACCGATCTGATGGATTCCCGAAAACTCATCCCACCTGGCTCTGAACATGATGAAGAGCGAAGTCAGCTTAAGCGCAGGCTGATAAAAAGCCTACGCAACAACCGTGAACAGTGGTGGGTGGCGAAAGCAAAAGCGATGGAAAAGGCAGCGGCAATAGGCAACACTAGACAACTTTTCCGACTTATCAAGGAAACTGGTATTAGGAATCCTAGTGTAAGTGAGACTATCTCAGAAAATGATGGGACTATCATTTATTCTCAATCCAGGAGACTGGATCGATGGGCAGAACACTTTAGGGATCAGTTCAACTGGCTTCGAGCCACTCTTCGGTTACCCACGATCTCCAGTCATCCTGAATGGCAAATCAACGTAAGTCCCCCTAGGCTTTATGAAGTTGGGAAAGCGTTAGGAAATCTGAAGCGAGGGCGAGCTGCAGGTCCTGATAGACTGACCCCTGAGATTTTTAAGGATGGTGGTCCAGTTTTAGCAGCTAGGTTGACTGAGATCTTAGGTAGAATCTGGGAACTGGACGTAATCCCATCCGACTGGTCTCAATCACTGATTGTCCCAATCTATAAGAAAGGACAAAAGTCTTCTTGTGACAATCACAGGGGAATAAGTCTAACTTATATAGTTTCTAAATTTTAAGCCTCGATTAAACTGTGACGCCTTACTAGAGCTCATGAAGAGCAGACTAGAGAAAATCAGGCTGGTTTTCGACCTGGACGCGGCTGTATAGACCACATTTTCACATTACGACAGGTACTGGAACACAGACACACAATTATTGTCGGACATCTAAATGTGTGTCTGTGTTCCAGTACCTGTCGTAATGTGAAAATGTGGTCTATACAGCCGCGTCCAGGTCGAAAACCAGCCTGGTTTTCTCTAGTCTGCACTTCACGAGCTCTAGTTAGGCGTCTAAGTATAATCGAGGCTAACAATTTAAAAACTATATTAGTTAGACTTATTCCCCTGTGATTGGCGCAAGAACACTTTTTTCCTTTCTTATAAAGTGAGATAATCAGTGATTGAGACCAGTCAGATGGGATTACGTCCAGTTCCTAGATTCTACCTAAGATCTCAGTCAACCTAGCTGCTAAAACTGGACTAACATCCTTACATATCTCAGGGGTCAGTCTATCAGGACCTGCAGCTCGCCTTCGCTTCAGATTTCCTAACACCTCAACTTCATAGAGCCTAGGGGGACTTAAATCGACTTGCCATTCAGGATGACTGGGGGTCGTGGGCAACCGAAGTGTGGCTGAAGACCAGTTGAACTGGTCTCTAAAGTGTTCTGCCCATCGGTCCTGTCTCCTGGATTGAGAATAAATAATAGTCCCATCCTTTTCTGAGATAGTCTCACTCACATTCGGGTTCCTAATACCGGTTACTTTGATAAGTAGGAAAAGTTGTCTAGTGTTGCAGGTCGCCGCTGCCTCTTCCATCGATTTTTCTTTCGCCACACATCAATGTTCACGGTCGCTACGTAGGCTCTTCATCAGCCTGCGCTTAGGCTGACTTCGTTCTTCATCAAGTTCAAAGCCAGGTGGGATGAGTTTTCGGGCATCCATCAGATCGGTGGATGCAACAGAGATCCACGGATTCGCTCTAGCCTTATGGTCAACCTTACTAGCATATATAACTGCAGTTCCCA